TTTTGAATGACATATATGTGAGAAACGGGTATGAAGTTCTGATAAAAAGACTTCTATTTCTAATGCAGTTCTATTTCTCAAAAACCGTAGATTCATGTGGAATATATATCCGAATGTGAACACATGACAAATGAGTTGCGTCCCTTGTGCACGCCAGAAACCTATGATTGTGGGTTCGAATCCCGGTTCGCCACGATTATGTTTCTAGGTTTGTCAGCACCATACCCGTACTCGTGGGTTTAACCGAAGTGGTAAACGTCTGAGACCTGCATCACTTCGGGCTTTCCTCTCACATTAAGCTGACACGGCGCGATATAACTGGAATATTGTTATAAGCGGCGTAAAACCCAACTCACACACTCATGTAGATGATGAACGCTGTCAGATGGGCAATGTTTCTTTACAAAACGTGATATAGCCACGCTTTAACGTTTACGTTTGCCAAAGGTCGCCTGCGACCTGCGTGACGTTCTCGTTGAGCAACCACAGACGCTAGCATTGTCACCGGAAGGTCTGTAATTGGGAATCAATGTACTCATGCACACTCTATGTACAACACGGTACACGTGTGTTTGAGTATACGTCTAGCTAATGGACCCAGGCCTGGGCTCTACCGTCGTCTTTGTTTAATAGGAACTTCAATCAACATACTCAGCTATAAACATGCATGTATGTGTAGTCATTAAAGCACTTAAACTGCATAAAGTGCCATCAAGTGTCCCTAATGTCTAAATGAAGCACAACATTAATAGTTATAATATTTGTCTTATTCGGCCTCCGATAGTCCAAAGACAAGAGTGAGAGCATGGCGCCTAGTGATCGAAGGTGTCGCATATTACTAGGGTTTCGTAGCCTTGACAGGATCCGGTGGCCATGGATTTGAACTGCAGTGTATGGACCTTGGTTTGCCAGACAATGAGGATCGCCTACAACCTGCGCTAATTTGGAAATGTCCTCCCACATTTAGCTAGTACGGTGATTGTAATACAAATACTCTTCGTAAACCTCTAAGGCTAAACTCACGTACTCAATCAGTGTAAATGCATTCACAAATGTATGCTGAATGTCCACCCCAATCAATAATTGTAAACTTGCTGGTGCTGCGTACAACATTTACTCACTGTGTCATGTTTTCGAAACTATCTAACTTGTTTTACGTTATCAGCATACCTGTTATTCGTGGTGCCAAAATAGAGGGGACTTTGGGATTCTTTCGTATTTGTTCTTGAAGGAGTTACCCAATTTTGAAAGCTTCAAGATTTGGGTAGGAGTTGAAATGTCGATAACACAAAGATCGTATACATCAAGTGTAACGTCATGTAACGTATGTCTGGCAGCTGTCTCGGTGGTCCAAAGATAGCATTACTCGACGAACCAAGAGATATACAAGCTGTCCCCAGGACTTCCTGGCACGTATTCTTATACCCAACGGCATCTCATTTGCCACCTGTTATAAGATATTTATCTATTTGTGAGAGTGTGGTCTGAGTTAATGGAATTTAATCTGTGAAAATGCTACTATGGAATGTATAAAACGCTGAATACTCTTCCAGTGAAACATTAATTGTATAATCAGAAATAAACAGCGCCTGTATGTATAAAACACTGTCTAAAGTTCACGCCATGTGAGGTTTCAGGTGGGACGAGTTTCCCAGTATAACAAACGAAATGGGAACGGCTGTGCCAGGCGCTGAAACTTGTCTGATTGCGCCGTGTGTCTAGTGAGCGTTTGTCCGGAGAACGGAAGGTCAGTGGTTCGTTAAAAGATAGTACATATACTTGTTTGTACCCTATCTGGCGCTCGGCATTAAGGGGATGGTTATTAAACAAGGACTGGTCAGCTTACTTTACTGTGTCTGAGTATGGTACCCATGTTAAACTGTGACATGGTGTCCCACTAGGCTAGCACTAGAAAACCGGTATTAGTCTAGCACAATCAGCCACACTTACGTCGCCAGAAAATTTCAAAATTCTTTAAAACGCAATGTTTAACCCCAATCGTGTGGATTGTTGCTCATGCTTGTAGGCATTGGATTGTGGGGTCTACCAACGCCGTCGTTATGTTGCTGGAGTATTGCTGACTGCGGCGTTGAACACTCAGTTACAGTCGACTTTAACAAATAGGTTGCCTGGAATACGAGTGACCCAGTCGTCTAAAGCGCCGTAATTTGCTGTGCAGTGTTGCCTCCTTTGGGCACGCCAGAAACCTATGATTGTGGGTTCGAATCCCGGTTCGCCCCGATACTGTTTCTAGGTTCGTTAGCACCATATCCGTCCTCGTGGGTTTCAACAAAGTGGTAAAGGTCTTAGACCTGCATCACTTCGGACGTTTCTCCCACATCAGGCTGACACGCCGTGATATAATATGAATACTGTTCAAAACGGCGTTACATTCAACTCACTGACACACATTGTGTCTTTTCGCGGAAGTCTGCCAGGTATAATGACATGTGGAGGTTGCTACCAATAGAACAGTACATCATTACTCATTTCGCGAACACCTGGTATCGTCACAGTTTTTCATTGATCCATTCATATAATCTTCACCACTAGTTGCCTTTTGCACCAATGGAACCCAAATAATCCTCACTGATTATTCTTTATATGGTTACATCTTCAACACATTTCTACATAGGGATTTATTTCCCGTTCTACCTAGAACAAAAAACTTCAAGTGCCGTCATGGACAGGAACATCATGACCCTTTCAGATATTCTCAGTGCATGTCAAACTGCGAACGGTTGTATCAGGACACAGTGAGCCAATGTGGCCATGACATTCAGGTAAAACATAACTCGAAGATAAAATAGGAATTTTCCGTGTGAATGCACAGTGTTCGAGATACTACATAAAACCCTCAGTGGAAGTAATGGCGTGTACTTGGAGCGGTGACGTGAACTGGCTGCAAATATGAAAAGTTGGTAACAGATTCACTCAACATTTCTGTTTCTATCTGAACAGTTCACTGTGTCTGATTCACGCTTCAGCGCCTTACACGTATTGATTGAAACCTTAGAAATATTGATTAGTACCTTAGGAGTAGCTTTTGGTCAGCTTTACTTTTGTATGAATCCACGCGTATATTTGAGAAGCCGTATATCGGTGTCCGCTGCGGTGATATTACTGGGAAGTAGTAAATTGGGGCTCCATTATACACGAATGTCGCATACACTTGTCTCCAATGACATTTAGACATAATGAAATAAATTGCTTGAAGAAAAGATTTCAGCTGGATCTTCAAGTTTTATCTTGATATAGAATATCACTTAATAATTAGGAAGAGCGTCATACGACTCTTACTCCGAAGTTGTTTGATCAAGCTTACAAAATTCAAGGCCTCAGTAAAGCTTTCAAAACGTTCTATGGTAGACATATATATCGAGGATATTTCCAAATTCGACGCATCAGTGAGACAGAAATGATGTCCGAAGCCATTCAGTGTTTTTACATGTACCATATGTTCCAGTGTTTTTTCAGGTGAACGATTGACTTGCCTTTGCATGTGTGTGTGACGGGTACCAACGGTGGGGCAAGATATGCTCACCTTTTCGCGAACACCCGGTATCATTACTATTTGATAGTGATTCATAAACTTACGCTCTTGATATAGCCGGAACCGTACAATCGACTCTCCTTTATGCAGATATTTCTATTGGATATCGAAAGGGTTTTGTCGCTTTATTATTTGTGTGTAATACCAAGGAGTATAAAGTGAGTGAGTTAGTTAAAACTTAACATCGCCTCGGCATTATTTCAGCCATATATGGCGAATGAAGAGTATATTATACTGGAGTTAAGTTCTAGACCTTCTGTCAAATAAATCAACATGAAACATGTACATGGACAATTTCGGAATTACTACATATGAATAGTTCAGTCCACATCAGAAGGAATATAACGAGACACGGCGATAGTCTGAACAATACATACATCATATACGAAAATGAATCTTATTTAATTAAATGACGTGTAATTTTACATTCGGTATCAATAAATCACAACGCTTTGACTCAATGAAGGATATCACTGGCGGCTGCTTTCGACTTAACACTGTAACAGGACATTCACCACCTCAAATTATTTGCTTGCGGTGCATCCCGACTTTGTGCGTGAATTGTAGGGTTCCCATTCGTGATTCTACACCGCATCTGATTTGGGTTATATATCATGTCTAGGCCCTTGTTTAATCTAATCGCTTGTAAGTGGAGGTCTTCGGTAGGAATAACAATGTGTCTTCATTTATGTCAGTGGCAATTTCCTTTTGGCTTTTTACACAACCATGACAAATAGCCCAAATCGATTGAAGTGGTTTTACATTTCATGTGAAATGAACCTATCTGAAAACACGACTTACTACGGGGATTTCAAGTTCGCAAAAATGCATTAGTTCTTGCATATTAGAATATGATGAGCATGTCAAATGCAGATCTCACAACTTCAGTCCCCCGGCATCAAAATGCATATTGCAACGGCATTGTGAACATTAAGGCTATACATCACTGTATAGCATTTACTGAATCATCCAGATGGTAAGAATTGCACATATCGAAAGGGACTATTTATTTTTTCAAGCAGCATATACAAAATCAATCAACAGTACGTATAGCATGAGTGAATGATTGAGTATTGCTTTACGCCGCTTTTAGCAATATTCCAGCAATGTCACGGCGGGGGACACCAGAAATGGGCTTCACACATTGTACCCATGTCGGGAATCGAACCCGGGTCTTCGGCGTGAAAAGCGAACGCTTTAACCACTAGGCTACCCGACCGCCCCCGTATAGCATGAAGCTCACGTGTATTTTGTATATATCTCATCCTCATGAAACATTTTTTATGTTATATTCTCATACTGGCGAGCAGTCAGGTTTAGCGTTCACTTGGCACACACGTACATGTACGTATACTAATAATAATACATGAAGTAATACATATTGTACAACTTCAAGCATTCAAATACGAAATGTAACGTTATGATGTGTAGGTATAGTTTTACTTACTTCATAAACATGACGACCCCAACTTTACTGATATCCTCTTGAATAATCTGCCACGATTCCAACACCATGGCTTTCTGTGGTTCTGTAATTTTTGGTGCATGCTCCAGTGGGTCTCTGGCAGGCGCAACAATATGTCCATTACACGTGTGTCCATTTGTGGGGAGATACTTCTTCCCCTTCCCTTTTCCTTTCCCTTCAGCAGAACTCGCCCGTTTGTTCCTGCTCTTCTTCGAGTGGTGAAGTCCCATGGTTGTAAGTGATAACGAATCTACACGTGAAACATGGATATTACGGCGCCGCTTTAGGAACGGGCTGTACACATGGCCTAGCTTTCAGGAAACGCCCGCTGCAGGACCACCAATCAATGTTGGGAAGGAGACGCTACTGTTTCGCAAAGAGATATCCACCATTGACAACTTCTAAACACACAAACAGTAATTGCTGTCACGGGGCATGCTTTATACACACATGCTGACACGTCATATCCGGTCTACCGCTGTCAACCAGGCACACGTCCCGCCTCATTATCGGATCACCAGTGGCTCGGAATTGATAAATCCTTCACGTTCGGATTTGATCTTACAAATTTGTTCTCTCTAGATTAAGCTGAATAAGACAACACGGAAAGATTTAGTTTGGTCAATACAGAGGCAAACCCATGGGGTTCATTGATCTACTTAGCAACACCTATCAGGAATCTTGCTCGCTGCGTGGGTTCTCCAGGAGGAGTGGGGAACAGGAATAAGAGAAGACATGCACGGTCATTGCCGGACACGTGGGACAGGCTCTACATAAATGAAACCCAGAGCATCCTGTAACATATGTTGCGCTGTTATTTGGCATTGCATTACGAAACTTACACACATGCAAACGGTTCACATGAAGGGTTTCACTGAATATGAAACAACCGTACTGATTATAGAAAGGAATATTCGTGATGGTGACACGATTTGTTTCATAAAAAAATTCCTGTTGCAAACTTTATTTCTTTATATGTTCACATATGGTTGCATTTTATGTAATTTATGGCTTTGATAGTCACAATAATAATAATAATAATAATAATAATAATAATGGAAACACATGGCAAATACGAGGACCTCGCTTTCGAAATGTCATGATTGCATACTGAGTACCAAGTTGTCCGACCCCACATTGTTCTCGGTGCCTTAGGTTTGGTGGTACCTGTTGTCTGACATTGGGAGTGTAGGCGGGTTTGCTGTCAGGAATACAGCCCTATGACAATTTGGGTAATGAAGAAGTCTGCAGTGTTGGGGAGTCTTCACATTCTTGGAAAGGTTCGGGGGGGGGGGGGGGGGGGGTCAACTGGGCAGCGATTCCTGGGAGAAGTCCCATTCGTTCGCAATCTGTGCTGCTAATAGAAGGGGCAAGGGCCTAACCAGCCTGACTATGCCAGGATCACCCAAACCCTCTTTGCTGCATTTATTTATTCTAATCTTTGCATAATTATAATACAACTTACCAGACTGTACCAGAATCACCCAATCCATCTTTGCTGTATTTATTTATTTTAATCTGTAAATCAAAATAATCATAATCATATTCATCATCGACGTCGTCAAAATCATAATAATCGTGAATTCGCCCACATTTACATCTCCCTATGCACATCTACATGTTTATATCCCAATACACATTCACACACATAACACCCCACGCCTCCAGTCCCTGTGGTCAGTCAATACCACCTGAGACATGTTTGTTTATAATTAAAGCTCTGTAAAAACTAATTCCGAAACTTCAAAGACATCCTGTAACCTACAAACAGTCATTTTCGAAAGCCAGTTAATAGTGAATATGTAGGATGATCAATTTCCGAAGATAATCAATATTGCGGCATATACAACATATCGGATGATCGATGGGCCCTTGTCGAGGGAAGGCCACCTGTGCAAGGCCATTAACGAGGTGTTTCTGCAACGCTGTAATAACAGCTGTCGTATCTCAATCGACAGCTCCGACTTAATTGGCATTAAGTTTCTTCACGTACATGTATACGGATAGTTAAAAGGTGCGGTTTCCTTTGAAAAGGAACGTACATTTTCTTATGCCTGAAATATGAAGTTAGGGCCAATGCATTATTCGGTTCTGAAGTCAGGCAGAATGCACCAAAGGGATAATTTTCAACTTTTTAAACTTTTTAGAAATATCAATATAAATTATGTTAAGTTCCGGGTTTAGAATATGTAGGTATATGCGTATGTGCCGGTTAATGGATTCTGGTTTAAATGTTGTTGGGTTGTACATACTTTTATGCTATATATGTCTCAATGAAGACATCTTGAAGGTATCCGTGAAGATCGGATAAGAGAATAGGTCTTCAGCAACCCATGATGGCCGTAAAAGGTGACTATGCTTGTGGTCACAGGCTACTAACGGGATCGGGTGGTCAGGCTCGCTGACTTGGTTATAATGCATGTCATTGTATCCCAATTGCATAGATCGATGCTCATGTCAGTCACTGGATTGTCTTGTCCAGACTCGATTATATACAGATCACGTCATACATCTGGAATATTGCTGAGTGCGGCGTTAAACAACAAACAAACAGACATATCAATATGAAATATGCATTGTCGGTTTTGTTCAAGATGTTTGTGTGAATGTTTATCATGTTACAGACATAACAGGCATCTGAAACATTTTTTTCAATATTATACGAGGTAGTAAGATCCGAAATTCTCTAATAGTTTCTGTTTGTCGTGGAAATGTTTTATAGTGTTGGCATAGTACTAAAGAGTGTTGCATGAATAGTCCAAACGTGTACCGGCTTCACGTACGCGAGCTTTTATGAGCTTAGGATACACTCATTCTATTGGGACACAAGCATACCGTTTCGTTCCATTAGGATACCATCATTGATTATCGTTATGACATGCATATGAAATAACGAAGTCTTATCTCCTACTGCAATGTAATATTATGGAATCATAATAATTATATTTCCCAATAGGATTTGCCCTTTCACAATAGTATTTGCCCTTCGAACTGCGATGCCTTGCCTCTCATTAGGAGTTATCTTTATCTCATTCTGCAATGTAATATTGTGGAATCATAATATAATATTTCCCAAAAGGATTTGCCCTTCGAATTGCGATGCCTTGCCTCTCACTAGGAGTTGTCTTTGGTGTCGTGGTGCCTTACTTCTCATTGGTATTTGTTAGGCCCATGTGATATTTGTCATTGGGTTTTGTCGGTATCACGCAGCGGCTTTGTCTCTCTTTTTGGCTCTTTGGATAAACATGTACCATCAACACAGCCAAGCATATTAGGAAATCCGAAATTAAGTAAGACATATATAGAATACTTAACGAGCTCCCGTGTAATACCAATTTTATGAAACTCGTGAATAGTTCTGGTATCTGACTCGCTTTCGCTCGTCAGATACCACAACTATTCACGAGTTTCATAAAATTGGTTTTACACGGGAGCGAGTTTAGTATTTTATTTATTACTTGTCATTTATAATGTTTTTAGAATTATACTGTTGAGTGTAAATAGGCTGACACCTACACGATCCATGGCATAATCCAACTGAGTTAAACAGAACAATACTTCAAACACGTCAAAAGTTGAAACGTATGAATTTAATATCATACAATGGTCCAGCTTTAGAATTCAGGCGTTCGTCCCACAAAATTATCGTAGTGCTAAGGCTATCACAACTCACATAATTTAACTTAGACTAACGACTGTCGTTGCGCTAGAGTACGATCGCCTTGTGGAACGGGGCCTTGCACCTCAAAGTTTACAATCACGTCACAATACCAGATGACGTAATTTGTTGAATTTTGTTGCATGATCCATCGGCGAAACAATGCCATGTGACGTCAGCCTAGCAACAAGGTTGCTGGGGTCATCGAGTGTGCATAAGCTCCTCCCAGTGATCTATAATCTCCACACACAATGTCGTTGAATACGCCAAGGGATGTTGAGAGCTTTCAATATTTGTTCGTGAAACGTGTTCCGAGAGTACATAAGCACGCGTTTTGGTATTACACAATGTGTAATAAAGCTGTATGTTTATTAAACGGATGATCTCTTCACGGGCAAGTAATAAAGACATTTAAGACATTAAAATTGATTAAAACATGCTTCAGGATCTGAAACAATGATGCGATATATTTCAATACAGTTTTGTGTTTCCATTCTATGAAATAAAGCTACTTGTTCCCCAATTTTAGACAAACTTTGGTTTAAGTCTAAATCTTGATTACAAGGCTGGATGTCAGGTATCTAAATAGAGTTCATATTATGAACGCTTGATTGCGTGTAGGTTCATTAGAATGTGAACCTCCGCAAAATGATTTCGAGGTTGGATGAAAGTCAAAGCATACCAAAATGAAAATCAATTCTTATCATTATGATATCACAATATACAATTGGATATTATATATGTTGTCACTGCATTTGATCTCAATTTGTACATCGATTGTCATATAAACACAAGCTATATCGACCGCCTCCGTCGTCTGTTGGTAGAGCGTCCGCCCTGCTCGAAATGCTCGAAATTCTTCATTGATAACATCTATGTAAAAATTAGGAGTAAGACATTTAGGCAGACGTAGGCATCCCCATGGGCACCAATTGCGCTCACTTTCTTGCTAATCTGTTTCTTTATGGATATGAATCTGAATTTCTCCTCGAGTTGGGAAATCAACACAAGATAATTTGGCCAAGATGTTAAGCAGGTATATCGATGATCTGATATCGTTCAATAATCAACAAAAAACCAATTCCCTTCAGCTTTCGCTTCAAATGTTGAGCAATATTCCTTCAGCTCCGGGCCGTGGTGTCCACATTTCACAACTTTTGAGGTGCAATCGAGCATGCTCATTATACCAAAATTTCAACGAACGTCATACAATTCTTGGCCAGAAGTTGTTTTGTATGGTTACAACACCCAGGCCTCAGTCAAGCTTTCACACAGTTTTATGGTAGACATGCGGAGGACATTTTCAAATTTGACGCAGCGACATGTTGAGTTCGAGGAATTTTTTTATTTTGACTTGACCATTTGATCAGTGTTTTTTCAGGTGAACAATTGACTTGCCTTTGCATGTGTTTGTGATGGGTGCCACCTGTGGGGCAGGAAGCGCTCATCTTTTCGAGGTATCATCTGGTATCATCACTACTTGATAGTGCTTCATAAACAAATGATCATGACATAGTCGTGATCGTACAATCGACTTTGTTTTCGGCAGGGATTTCTTTTGAACAAGGGAAGGGTTTTGTCTCATTTGTTCCCACACACTTTGTTCGAACGAGGGCGACATGTTTAGGAAAGAAAGGATATGCAAAGTTGGTTGGTAAGTTGAGCCGGTTTGTTGTTTTGCGCCGCACTCGGCAATATTTAAGCTACATAACGGCGGTCTGTAAATAATCGAGCCTGGACCAGACATTCCAGTGATTGATATCATGAGCATCGATCCACGCAATTGGGATCGATGACATGCATCAGCCAAGTTAGCGAGCCTGACCACAC